AAAATTAAAGATTTTGGCCCATGTACATGTACTTGTCCTGTTTAAATAACATGTTAAATATAGATTTAGCTGATGAGTCTTCTGTTCTAATAGTGACACCAGAGTACAGTGTGAAATCTGTATCAAAGCATCACACAGTTCAGTACCTATGGTCTGGCTGACAGTCAACTCTACTTCATCCTTGTTACAGTCAAAGGAGTTCAGGACAAAGTGGTTCCCTGAAGCTATGGTGATTGTGTCCATTATGACCGAATCCAGTTTCAACACACAGGCTGACTTGGGATCCTTTTTCTTTACGTGTATCTGTAGTACCTGCTTCTCAGGCAGATCCCCTTCACATTGCCCTGCAACAGTCAAAAGAATAAGAAAAAATAGATATATAAGCATTATATGAAATAGGTAGGTGCAGTCAGTCGGCCATTTTCACAAAATAAATCTTCCGGAGTGATCAAAAGATAAAATAATTACACACACATTACGGATTTAAATTTAAATTATTAGTGGTTGACCAATGAGGATTTTCACTGGCTGATATCTAGAAGGCAGGGTGGCTGATTGGTGATTTAATGCTGATATATAGAGTATGAACAAATTCAATGATAGAAAAAAAGGCACAACAAACCTGCTGGAAAGAAAACATTTACAATACATTTTCTTAAAATTTGTCAAATGGTTTGCGATCCATTGACAAAGTTGTCAAATGTGGAACTGACAAAGTCATTTCGTTAACATGCCAGAACTGAACATTGTTATTGGCCGAAGTTGATATTAGAGTGTCCAAAAATAATGTCCAATTCATAGATCCTGCCGATATTGTTTCCATGCACAAGAAAGCGGTTTATTCTCGGGTTTTCACAGAACACAGTGTTCTGAAACATTCTGTACACTGCACTTTTATTACGCCATTTAAGGGAGTAGGAGAAAGCAGTTGGAATGCATAAATGCATAAGTGGTGTTCTTACAGGTTTTTGAAGAGTGTGCATGTGCATGGGATGTCTAAAGTTATGGCACTGCATCTTTACCCGGGTTATAAATGAAGTATATGCTGCTAACACAGCGCATGTAAACATGAATGTCGCTTTCATGTGATAAACAGCTTTTTTAAAATAAGCGGTTTTCTGGTGTTCATGTAAACATAATCAAGTCATATGTGTTTTGCAATAGCAATTACTTTTTTGGAAGTAATGAGCAAGTTGAACATTTCAATTTGTACCACAATACCGAAGTTACTGTAGCGTCTGGAACACTCCAACACACAATATATATTTTG